TTTGCTTTTTCGAATTTCGATCACTTTTTTCATGCTAATACCCCACCGTGCGCCGCGCGCCGCTGACAGGAAAACAGCGGATAGAGGGACTGTACGAGACGGAGCGGGCAGGGAAGAATATTCCCGCGGGACCTGCCCGGAATTCGGGATAATCCGGTCACGGTTCCGGAAACCGAGCATCGCAAATTGGCCGGTTAGTATTCCGCACTCGTTCGCCTGTATCTTCTTAACTTCGCGATGGTGTGTAATCACATTAGGTTTTGGTTGTGTGTATAGGTTTAGGGGGGCGGCCACAATACGAACGCCATAACAGAGATCGCCAAATATTGGCCATTTTAAACAAAGAAATAATATTTTGAAATTTCCTACATGCCTTAACGCTGATTATATACAGGGTCCGGCCATAGTGCGTCGGGCATCTGTAGCTCCTAAAATTTTAAAAAACTTGCAAATTTTAAAGGATGTATTTCAGGAAAATATTATTTTAACTTCTATAGGGTGGCTCAAAAAAGTGTGAGTGGATGGGGATGATTTTTTTTAATGGAACACCCTGTATATTATTTTATCAATAGATGGAGAATTAAAAAATGAAAAATTTTTGCATTTAAAGTATTTTAATATTTTTAATGGTTTCGTAGATACACGCAGTATTATTTCATTTGGCTCCTTCAACGGTAAAATACGAGAAAAAAATTATTGGGTGGCTTTGATAAAAACTTACTATGGAAAATGCCATATGAAATATAAAACCGCGAATATCTGAAAAACCGTTAACATTTTTGAAATACTCTAAATATCCTGTATGATTTACGATTACCATACAGGGTGGCCCATCGAAAACATTCCGCAAGGCATAACGGCCAGGGTATTTTTTTTTTCGAAAAATCCAAAAACACGTCAATTTTGTTTCTGAGGGGGACAACTTTTGCTCCAAAAATGATTGCAAAATCTTCAACCCTCTAAGCGGGAGCGTCATCCCCCAACTTTTTTAAATGGGAAGGGGGGTCAAGTGGCACCGCAGTGAAAAGAGCTTTCCATTCTCTATATTTCCTCGCTTCGTTTTTGAAAATCGATCGAGTCATTGAGAAAATATGAAGGATTAAAATTTGAAAAGTTTATTTAAACATTTATCAGAGTAAATGATAAGGATAAATTCCTTCGACCAATTTGCTGTTTTTTCTTATTATTTCTAAATGTTTACGCATTTTTTCACTTGCCACAACGTTGAACGATCAGGTGCGGTAGTTGCTAGATAGCTGTACTGTATCTTGTGCGTTGAAGTTCTTAGTATCGTTAAACTGACCCACAATAGAATTTCCTAAAATACCAGTCCACACGTTCAATTTCTGAGGGTTTTGTGTATGCACCTCGTGAAAAACCCTAGGGTTGTCCTCGGCCCAGTACCGACAGTTGTGCCGATTAACTACACCGTTCAAAAAGAAAGTACACTCATCCGAAAGACACAGATTAAATAGGAAATTACTATCATTCGTCACTCGTTCACTCATAGTTTCACAAAATTGCAAGCGAAGATCAAAATCGTCTTCGTTGAGTTCTTGTACCAACTGAATTTTGTACGGGTGGAACTTGTGTTTTTTTAATATCCTTTGGTCACTTGTACGATTCACGCCGGTCTTATTGGCTAATTTTCTTGTACTCAGCGTACTATCTATGGCAACTTGGCCCAATACGAATGACTTTATAGCTTCATTTACTACAGAATTTTCCCTCTGCCTCTTTTTATTCATAACGGAACCAGTTTCGCGAAATTTTGCTACTAACTCGCGAACAATTTTGCCATAAAGGTGTTTGTCAGGATGGCGTTCATTGAATATCTGCACAACCCGATTGCAAACATCCAGAAATAATAAGAAAAAACAGAAAATTGGTCAAAGGAATGTATCCTTATCATTTACTATGATAAATATTTAAATAAACTTTTCAAATTTCAATCCTTCATATTTTCTCAACGACTCGACCGATCTTCAAAAACGGAGCCGGAAAGTATAGAGAATAGAAAGTCCTTTTCATTGCGGCACCACTTGACCCCCCTTCCCATTTGAAAAAAATTGGGGGATGACACCCCCGCTTAGAGGGTTAAAGATTTTGCAATCATGTTTGGTGCAAAAGTTGTCCCACTCACAAACAAAATTGACGTGTTTTTGAATTTTCTGAAAAAAAAATTACCCTGGCCGTTATGCTTTGCGGAACGTTTTTGATGGGCCACCCTGTATATTTATAGCAAAGTAAGTACAGACAATCTAAAGCAAATACATAATATAGTTTTGATTTCAGGACAGCTTTTTTCATAAAATGTTTCAGAAAGGCTGAAAAATATATACTTTTTATTTATTTATTAATATCTCTAAAACTATCGAAATATATTTAATCATATCTTAGGATTATGTAAAGTGATCTGAAGGAAAGCCAAACATGCAATAATATAAAGGGTGTTCCATTTAAAAAAAATCATCCCCATCCAATCACACTTTTTTGAGCCACCCTATAGAAGTTAAAATATTTTCCTGAAATACATCCAAGTACATACTTTAGGACTGCACTTGAACAAAATTCCCAAATTTTTTATTCTAGGAGCTAGAGATGCCCGACGCACTATTACTGAACCCTGTCTTTTAAAATACTAGAATTTTTACTTTTTTTTGGCTTCAAAAGTCAATAGTTTTCCTTTAAATAATTTATAGGGAAATATAGCATTGACTCACAATATTTATTGTAATATTATTGCGAATATATTGATCAAATCATAGTTTAGTTTTGTTTAGAAGAGCAAAAACTAGGTAAAAATTCGAAAACTAGTTACACAAATAAGAAGAAATAAACTAAATTACATTTCAACGGATTTACTTCAGAATCATCACATCGACAAGTCCTCTTTCCCCTGGCTCTTGCAAAAACGTTACAGCAATTACAAGAAATGCTGAACACATATTGTGCATACGAGGCTTTGGGCCTTAAGTTTAACATCAATAAGATTAAAATTATATGTTCTCCCCTCGAAAATTATAACAATACTATAAAATCGGAGAAGAACTATTGAAATATGTAGCGAGATTCAATTATCTCGGCAGTTTGATTTCGAAAAACGTAAATATCGACGCTGAAATTCCGAATTGGCAGCGCCACAAGAGCATTCTGGAAATAAGACAGGGTTTTCTAAAATCATGACTATGGCTTGATTCAGAACCACCTCGCAATTAGTGGAATATATTAGTAGTTTCAATTAGCGTAGAAAATTGTTCCTTTAATTTCAATGTAAGCATTCAGAACGTCAATATTAGTTGTGACATTTTCAATTAGTACAAAAAGTTATCGAACTTTTGACTTTTCAACTAATTGTACTTCAAAATTTGCGACAAATGTTATTTTGGCCTTTGATTATCTTCCGTCAAGAGAAATGGTGGTTAGAAATCAAAACTTGATTGTTGTATAAGCTAAATATTATGCTTTCTCTATGGATACAACAGACTAACGCAAGCTGTTGCTAGGATATTCAATTAATTTTAATTGTGTTTTTTAAACATTGTGAATGATCGTAAACTAAAAAGTATAAAGTGTAATAAAAACCACTAATTTATTCCACTAATTGCGAGGTTATGAATGAAACTTTAAGCAAAAAAACGAAACTTCCAGTGTGCCGAGCAATAATATTCCCCACCATGTTATACGGAAGCGAAACCTGGGTGCCCTATCGCCGGCACATGAACGCATTAAACAAGTTGCAAGAGAGACACCTTACACAACTGTTAAAAATCAAATAAATGCTATCACCATGTCTCAAACGTCCTTGAAAAAGGTAGCTGCGAGAACACAGAAATAATGATTACTAAATCCCGCTTAAGATGGGCTGGCCACGTATGCAGGATGCAAGAAAATCGCCTACCGAAATATCTTCTCTACGCTGAGCTTGTAGACGGTAAGAGGAACCCGGGTGGACAACTCAAGAGATACAAGGATATTTTCCATGAAACCTAAAGGGGATAAGCATGCGGAATCAGCGCACAACAGAATTCAATGGAGAAGAATTGTAAACTCAGTTAACAACGCCAACCAAAAAGTAAAGAGGCCAAACCGTAATGAAATTTTTGAAAACCCATAGTGCGGAAGGGAGATAACATCACGTATCATGGAAATTTCCACCATTTGTCAAACACTTATCAAAAGTATCTGTCATCCTTAACGGATAACCTCGCACTTGACTGCACCTGCTCTTTTTCAAGTGAACGAATAGCTCTAGTATACAAACTCAGTAGTTTTAGGATTTATGTTACATGTATAATTTACACTTTAAAATGATCAGTAATACATCTTTCAAAAGAAGTATAAAAAAACTCAAAGTCTCGGTCTCAACGTTTATATTAAGTTAAATAGTAACACGTGTTTGTATGTGTGGATTGACTTTTATTGTATTTGTCTGATGATGCTCGTATGAGCGAAACAAAAACGTGTCACTGTTTAACTTATAATATAAATGTTGAGACCGAAACTTTGAGTCTTTTTTATACTCTTTTTTTAATTTAAACCAGGTCCCTTTGAGAAGAATGAACGCGTTCTTTACATTTAGTAATACATCTGACCGAAACGTTGTATAAGTTAAATTAAATAATGAAAATGAATATTCGAAATTATTTCACAAAAGGCTTTATAAACAGGGTAAATTAATTAATTTAGTTGATTAAGGCGTTTCATCAAATATTCTGTAATTACAGCGAACGACTGAGACCTATTTTCAAACTATGTACCAAATGAAGATGCATTATGCAGTTTTCCGACGTAGATATTCATCATCTCTATTTCATTATCAGTACTATTATTCACTTATAACACTGTCCCCTTTATACTCTCCCCTGTTATTTTTAGTTTATCTATAATTTTCTCGTGTGCCCGAAAGATAGCCCCTTGGTCAACGTTAATTTGTGGGGCACTCAGGTTTAAGCCTTAGTAATGAGTCTGCATCGCTCTCGGCCTGCATAGTAACTTACACGCTACGCTTATTCTCCTGCTATCCTGGGCGGATCCTCCGGGAAAACGGGGATTATCGGCGCGGCAAACCAGCAGCTTATCGTCGTCCTCAGCTGAAACGGTCAGGGTCAGGATGCTGCCGGTGAATGAACTAGTTTCTTCTTCCTGAAAGCAAAAAAGTAGATATTTCACAATATGTCTTAATTTTTCTACGAATTTCCAATTTTCTCTACGAATAATGGAAATATACACGGTGAGTTTCCTACCATGTTCTCTATAGGTATCTCGGAAACTACTGGAGATAGAGAGTCAGTTAAATGGGGAAAGAATTGCAGTTTTATGGGGTCATAAATATGCGCCATTCAGATTTTTGAAAAAGTTCATGGTTTACTAGATATTTCGAAAAAAAAACAAATTTTGGCTATTTTAAAAATTGTCCCTAATTCCATTATAATCTATTTTAGACAAAAAGTTTTCAGATAAAAGTTGTAGATAATCACATCCCTAATGAGATTGTGTTCTTCGATTTTTTCTAAAGCCTGTCATTTTTGACATATGACACAAATATATGTTTTTTTAAATAGAAACCATAGTTGGCCATGAATTCATAAAAAGCGCCATTTTTTAAGCTTTTCAGCGATATAAGCTATAATATGTTTCTTTCACAAAATTACTGAGTTTAGCCAATTCTTATCTTTCTTGACTAATTTCACTTAGTTAGCCATGGAAACAAGTTCAATCGTCGTTGCTTTCAGAAATATGAAATTGTCACATTCAATCTTTGTAAATTAAAATAAACAAAAATTGTAAATAAGAGTTTTTCAAATGAAGAAAATCGTGTAGGAATCAATTTTTGTTCAACTTTTCTTGGCCATACAGTTTCGAGGATACGTTGACCGTTGACCGGTGAACTTACGTTTTTTAGGTTTTCAAGACATGTTAGAAAAGTTAAATTTATTAATACTCGCGCATTAATAGAGTGGTTCCAATATGACTTTCATTATGACATACCAATCCCAACCCCCCCCCCCTCATCACACACATACACACAATGAAAGAAATTAATTAAAAAGTATTTATATCATAATTATGTAGACTCAGGGATAGAAAGAGGTGGACCAATTGCATGGGTCTCCTCGGTCACTTGACCTATCCATTTTAGATTTTTTTATGCGGTATGGTTAACAACAAGGTTTACAACAGAACTTATGAATTGAGAGAGGCACTCGAAGACCGATCGTTCTGTGAGAATAGCTAGAAATTCAGTTTTAAAAAGATGCATTTATGTACTCAAAACAATTGCGGATTTTTTGAAAATTTTCTAAAATAACTTATAGTGATATTATTTTTTTAAGTTTTAGTTTGTGTAATGCAAATTATAAAGAGCCGTTTAATAATATATTTTGTCTTTTTATAAGTAATAAATCATAACGAAATTAGAACACCATTGAAAACCGTTCTCTAAAAAAACGTAAATAATTTTCACCGGTCAACGTATCCTCAAAACTGTATGGCCAAGAAAAGTTGAACCAATTATTTATAGATTGAATTTTTATTTACAATTTTTGTTTAATTTAATTTACAATGATTGGATGTGACAATTTCACATTTCTGAGAGTAACGACGATTGAACTTGTTTCCATGGCTAAGTGAAATTAGTCAAGAAAGATAAAAATTGGCTATAACTCAGTAATTTTGTGAAAGAAACATATTATAGCTTATATCGCTGAAAAGCTTAAAAAATGGCGCTTTTTATGAAGTCATGGCCAACTATGGTTTCCATTAAAAAAAACATATGTTTGTGTCATAAGTCAAAAATGACAGGCTTTAGAAAAAATCGGAGAACTCAAACTCATTAGGAATGTGATTATCTACAACTTTTATCTGAACACTTTTTGTCTAAAATAGATTATAATGGAATTAGGGACAATTTTTAAAATAGCCAAAATTTGATTTTTTAGAAATATCTAGTAAGCCATGAACTTTTTCAAAAATCTGAAAGGCGCATATTTATGACCCCACAAAACTGCAATTCTTTCCCCATTTAACCGACTCTCTATCTCCAGTAGTTTCCGAGATGCCCATAGAGAACATCGTAGGAAACTCACCCTGTATATTCTTTTAATTACTATGATTTTTTTAATTATAGCCATAAATGTGTTGAATTTATTAATTAAAACATTTAGTTTAGTGCTATATCAGGTACCTAATATAGTTTGGTAAATTCAAATTTACCAAAATATGTAATATGCTATAATAAACTACTCAAAACTATAATCTAATATTATTACATTTTTTAAAAGATATGCGATCATTGTTTTGAATAGTAAAAAACACTCGGTATTTTTTTACTTTATTGGATAGAAAATGACATTCTGAATAGAATGACGCATCATATGACAACTTTTGACATTTTTGCTTAAAAAATCGTATTTTACAGTCCAATCTAGAGTGCCATGGATGTGTTAAAAATACTAAAGTTAAAAGATGTCCAAATCATATCTTTAATCATATCTCAATATTTTCAAACGGAACAGGGATGGTTTATTAGCATATTTATAAAAAGCATTTTTTTACAAATAATTTGATACCACTCATTTAGTCATCATCATGTAGCCATCGTTGTCCACTGCTGAACATAGGCCTCCTCCATATTTCTCCATGTCTCTCGATTTTGGGCCGTCATCACCCAATTTCCAGCAATCCTCTTTACATCATCGGTCCAGCGTGTCGGTGGTCTGCCTCTGCTACGTTTATTTGCTCGAGGTCGCCATTCTAACAATCTTCTAGTCCACCTGTCTTTAGATGTTCTCGCCACATGACCTGCCCATCTCCATTTCATTCGAGTTACGTGTTCCACTATGTCTTTAATTTTGGTTTTTTGTCTGATAGTGTTATTAGGAATTTTGTCTCTTTTAGTTATTCCAAGCATGGCTCTCTCCATGGCTCTCTGGGCTACTCTTAAATTTTCTGCTGACCTTTTCGTTAATGTTAGAGTTTCCGCTCCATATGTACTCATTTAGTATTTCGTGTCAAATTGTCGTTATGAACAGCATGTTACAATTTTAAATAAACCATATGCGAAAATATCAGTGTCATTTTCTATCGAATAATGTAAAAATATACTGAGGGTGTCATTTAAAAATAAAAAGTTGTAGTCATTTTCGGTGAAACAGGAAGTGACCAAAAACGATTGTATAAGTCAATCAATCCTAATTTATGTCATATACTAATATACCAAATCTCATTTGTTTATCTGAAAAAATAAAAAGTTATAGAGGTGAGCCACTTTTGAGACGCACTAATAATAATAAAGATAATTAACAATAATAAAGATAATTTTGTCGTTACAAGAACTAAGAAAGCCGTGAAAAAATGATTGAAAATAAAATTATTACTCTGTATTGCCCCCTCTATTTCATACAACTGATTGACATCGCCTTCCCATACAATATGCACATAATTAAGTTATGTACATATTGTTCGAAAACGCCAATCCTCTATATGTGCTTAGGACAACTGGCCCAAAGTCTGTGGTGGGCTAATTCTGCTACTAACGGCTCGTCTTTCAAGAACCTTCTAACAATGCCTGCCGTGTGAATGAATGGCGCAAAAGTATTTACATGGTCTTCAAGAATGTCTATAATGTACATTTTAGCATGCAATGTACCGGTCCTGGATAAAGAATTATTAATTCTTCCCCAGACTAGACAACCTCCAAACGCCGCCAAAGACATCCAACTGACGAATATTTTGCTAAACAAATCAGATTCCAGTTTTCTTATATACCCTTACATGACGATCATTCGTTGATAAAGTAAATCTTTGCTCGTCAGTAAAGGATACTCTACCCCATTCAGCAACTGTCCAATTCAGGTGTTCTCTTCCAAATGCTAATGTGGCTACTCGATGTTCCCGTGTGAGACTTGGCCCAGTTGCTTTTAGTCTTGGCCTCAAATGGTGTTCTATTAACCTGTTTCTTACTATCTGTATTATTCTAAGCTGGTGTGCTTTTAATACTTCATTTTGTAGGTTTCTAGTTGTACGATTTCTCAAAGTTGCTAATTGTATAAATCGGTCTGGGGCTGCTATTATAGCTCTTGATCTACCTTTGCCATGGCGTCTTGCATAACTTTGAGTTTCCGTGTTGAGTTTTAATACTTTACTAATGATAATTGATCGACATTAAGAATTTGTTCAATCCTAACTTGACTATACCCCTCGTTTGATAGTGTTAGAGTGGTTTTAACTTTACCTTCTGCCAAATGTCTCGAAAAACGTATATTTGTATAATTCATCTTTTAAAAATATCTAATTTTAGTTCTATTTACAAAATTACATAATAAACAGAAAGTCGTTTGCCGATATGCACAAAATAATCTGTAACTTTCAATGATGGAAGAAATTAGACAATTATTGTAAACATAAACAAAACGGCCTCCTGTATTTTTTCTAAATAGCTTTCCTTTCGTGTATGTTGAAGAAGACATTTTTACACTAAAAGATATGAGTAAAAAAACATGCTTCATATAGAAGTATGTAATAATTAGTTTTTTCCAAAATGCGATACTTATTTTGAGTAGTATAATAGTTGTTGCTAGGAAATGAACTATGGATATTTGGGGTTTGTTTTATAAAATAAACATATAGTGTCAGAGTAAAAGAAATTAGTTTAATTAGACAAATACAACCGAATACGATAATACATGAATCCGCCTCAAAGCTTTCTTCCCTTTATTACTGTAGCGTTTTTTAAACCACTACCACTGCGAACGGCAGCTTTTCATCGGAGAGCAGTCGTGGATAAGGTATTTCACTGGAAAGAAAACTAATTAAGAACAATAAACAAAAAAATAGATATTGGGCGCCAGGCATGTACAGAGAAAGAAAACACAGTTGTATATTACTTAAAACTAATGACTATATTTATTCATGACGTTCTTTGCTGATACATGACATTGTAGAGTGCAGGTAAATATATAGTGGTTATATGTCAAAGAAGGTGGTGGTAAGAGTCGTACTAAATATCATTGAAAACAACTACGATAAAATACAGGACATGTAAAGTTTAAGAGAAAATATGAAATGTAGCATTACTTTAATTAATTTGATATATTCCATATGATGCTAAATCGAAGATGTTACAACCTGTAGATTCTAGAATC